GGACCAGGCCAGGCAAAGAGCTGGAAAGTTCTCCAGGGTTTGGAGAAGTCTGTGGGGCTGGCCAGGCTGAGGATCCGTCAGCAGCATCCATAGGGACCATTTCCTGCACGTTGCTCTAGTGCCCCAGTGCCCGACACATAAAGTGGACTAAAAAATATTTCTTAAAAGAACGAAGGCAGAAATCTACAGAGCAAGTGAAGCAGTGAGGTGGTGCCCATGTGCTCCATCCTTTGTTTTCCAGAAAGGAGGACAAAGTATATTGTAGCAGTTATTAGAGTTCTTTTATGGGACTTCTTGTACTTCTAACAGGGGAACAGGATATGTCTTACCACCACTTAGTTATAAACTTGCTTTTAACAATAGTAATTTAATTTTTAATATATTTAGAATGATTTCCCCTTAAAATAATATTGATCCCTTAAAACAGTTGGACCACAGAGCATGCCTGGAGCGTCTCTTCAAGTCCAGCACTTTGGCGATGGTCTGTCAGGACCCAGAGCACATCTTTGGGAAGGATCCCTCAGGTGTCTCAGCCCGGGGGAGGGCACTGAGTTTGTCCCCGTGTTGTACACTCCGTGGGGGATCTCCCGAAAGGACCTGAGGGAGGTGCGGTCTCAGAGGGCCTGGGGTTCCTTGGGACAGGGAAGGATGCCTGGTGTGTCCAGCCTGCAGGAAGAGTCTCTCCATGGGGCAGGGAACATTCTGGTTGTCTGAAGCTCAGGACACTGGGGACGAGAACTTGGCCAGAGCATCCTAAGCTTTTTGGTCTTGTTGGTTTGAGGAAGGATGTCACACCGATAGCCAGTCGGTTTCATCCCAGGGAAGAGAGGGAGGAGAGTAAACTGCCAGGAGAGGGGTGACCTCTCTCCTCTAAAGTAAGCGGTTCCAAACCGCTGTGCACTGCGTAGACCTTCTGTAGCCTGTGTGTGCCTGTTTATTATTGTTTCCTCAAGCTGCCGGTGATACGTGGGAAAGCATTTTGTAAGATTGCTAATGTTGTTTTTGTGAAATCTGGGGTTGCATCTCGCTGTCACTTCAATCAGCTGATTCCGATGCCTAAGGGGGTGGAAGCAGTGCCGTCCCCGTGGGGAAGCCCCTCGCATGGGGACTAGAAACCACCCGAGCTGCTCGTTCAGAGGCCTTCTGACAATTTGGCTCTGTCCGCAGGAAGGATGGCTTCTGGATCAACGAGATGCGATTTTATTTATTCATAAGAGAAGGAAAATATTTCCCCAAATTAATAGGGAATGCAGGAGAGGATGGTCAGAGAAGAACTGAAATACTGATCATAGTTTCATCTGCCCCCTACATGCCCCACAGCGTTCAGTCTCTGTCTTGCGCCATTTCTTCTTGATTTTATTTTCCTTCTATTCATTTATTTTATTTAATTTTGGGTGACAACCAGACACACGCATTCCAAACTAGAAGCCAACAGAGAATTGCTCAACTCAGGAGAGCAAGCTATCAATTCATTGAGAAATAAGCAGTGGCTCAGCTATTTTAATTGATGGCATTAAAAAATTAGCCTACTCAGGCATCTTCCCCATCTGACAAATTTGGGTCAGTGCAGAGCCCGTGGCGGTAGATGGAAAGGCCCAGAATAGAGCGAGTGTGGGCTAGCTAGTGTGAGGGGAGGGGGGCAGGCCAGGTTGTTGGTATTCAGGGGGGCCCGAGCAGGAGGCCCGGTGGGGACCACCAGAGAGGGACACAGACTTGTAGAGGGGGAGGAAGCTGAGACGTGGCCAGGCCAGGTGTGGGCTGTATCCCAAGAGGGGGGCACAGCCAGCTGATCAGCAGCATCTAGTGGCGAAGAGACCAAATGACCCCCCCACTTAATAGATGAAGATACTGAGAGCCTGCAGGGCTGGAAGACTTGCCTCCCTCCACCTGATAAACACGCGAGTGGGAGAAGATCGATGTCTGGACTCGGAATTGCATAGTCAGTTCTGGTTTCTGATACTCTGCGAAGTAGAGATTTCCAGGGGCCGAGGACCAAGCGTCCCCGTAAAGCTGTGTGTAGGAGGAGTGTTTCTGGGCTGGAGCTTGCTGCAGTTTCTGCTCCAGGCCTGCCCAGCCCTGGCTTGTCCCCATAGCTCCTGCCAGGTTGCTCAACGGACCTGCGTCTCAGCTGGCTGGCAATCCCACTGCCGAGAACATTCCCTTAGAGCGACATGTCTTAACTTCTCCACTCCTGAGCCTTGGGAAATAGCGCCCACTCGGAGGAACAGAAGCTTCTATTTTTAATCCGGGCGGCCTGTGTAAACAGTCCGGCTCACTAACCCCTGAGATTGAATCTTTCCCTTTTTCTATTGTCTTTTGTTTATCTGAAGCAGCCTGTAGGATTTTACCAATTTCTTTTCTATAATCTGTTTTCAGACAGCACATAGGGCCCTTGTTCATCACCAATCATTTTTAATTTTTACCAAACAAAAAAGTAGCCCTTGTGAATGGAAGGTGCTTAGAGAACGCTCAGGCTCAGAGAGGGAAAGTGCCTTCCAGAGTGTCACACAGCTATGGAGGCATGATGTCAGAGCACAGAACTCCTGACCTCCTGGTAGTCCTGCATTTTTTTAATATTGACTTGTATTTGTTAGGATACTTTGGGCTTCAAGGAACTGACCGTGTAAGTTGACATCACTGGGAGGTGGGGGAGCCCCTGGGCGGGGGGCCCTGGGGTCAGCTTTGGCAGTGGCTCCATCTCCAGCTTCTCTGCAAAGCCCCTGTTGGCATCCTCTTGTGTTCTGGCTGTGCCCTGCAGTCACTGCCCTCTTGGGGCAACACAGCTGCCCAGGACACCCAGGGAAGACAGAGGGTGGCACCCCAACATTTCAACACGCAGCCCTGAAATTCCCCCGCATTGGACCCCTTAAGTCACACGCCCTTCCCTAAATAAGGATCAGGGCAGAAATTCTCACCTGCACTGATTGAGTCAGGTCCGGCTTCTGAATCACCCAATAGCAGGGGAGTTGTGATTACCCTGCACCAATCAGACCCTCCCTTGGAGTTGGGGACATGGCCCCTGTCCCAGGGCACATGGGTTGCCTGAGGAAAGCTGGACACTGAGAAAAGGAAAAGAAGAAGAAGAAGTTCTCTTGGGAAGCTGGAATGCAGAGTGGATACTTAGGGAGCAACGGGATAGCAGCTGCTAGAATTTTCCAATACTATACCAAAAACTCCTTGAAGACTAGTGTCTGCCATGATAAAGGCTCAAAGTGCCTGTCATAGAAAGATTTGGGGCACAAAGATCTTGGGAATTGGGGGGACTCCTATGCACAGGCCCTGTTCATTCATCTGTCCCTTCAGTCAACCAGAAGATGCTCACCACGTGCCAGGCACTGGGATTTCGCGGCGGTGGCCCCTGACAGCACCGACCCAGCTCCTCTCTGTTGGTGGTGCTGTGAGGGTCGGCTGCTGACGGCTCACAGCTGCCCTCCCCTCCCCAAAAAAATTGTCCTTGGCTAATAGGAGCTAATTGACCCAGGAAGTTACACACTATGCCCTGCATCTTGAGGACAGACCACAGTTACCTGTGACTGATTCTGTCCAAAAGGCCAGCCTCTGGGGTCCTCCCACCATGGGCAGACCAAGGCTAGTTGTTACCTGGGGCTACATCCTGGCTCTCTCCTTCCCGTTCCCATCCCACATCCCTCACTGCTCCACGGACCCCTCCTGGGACAAGCCCCTCAATACACAACGTTCACCTGAACCGCCATCTCTGCTTCTGGGGAACCCAATCTAAGACAACCACGAACAGCCTTCACTGCAGAGGCGCTCACTGTTGCCCACAGATTACAGATATGTAAAGATGGCAGTTACAGGAACAAAGCAGAGTAAATGACATTACAGAGGACCAAGCAAAGAAATCTGCCTTCATTTTATTATATATTGGTATAAAAATCACTGACGTATGTGCAACTAGAGAAATCAACAAACTTTTTGGAATGCAGTTCTTTTGCACCTCTCTGCAACATTTGGGCTGGAGATGAAGGGAAAACAGTCAGTAAAAGTCTTGTCCACCGAAGCTCACAGCTGGAAGACGTCACAGCTGAGAGTTGGTGAAAGGAGCAGCAGCCCGGGCCGGAAGCAGACTGGGCTCTTTCTCTCTATGATGCCACCCCTTTCCCTTCCCTGGAAAGGGCGCAGGGTAGAAGGTTTCCCTGGAGACCTGAGTCCTCCCGAAGTGGGTGTCCACCACTTACATACCATGTGATCTTAGACAAAGGGCTTGATTTCTGCAAAGTAGTCAAGATTCTTTTGGCTGAGAGGAAAAAAAAATCCCACCCAAACCAGCCCATCCTTAAAGGGAAATTTATTGGCTCTTACAAGTTGGGAAATCCCAGCTTGATATCTTTCAGAATGTAAGTGGGTGGTAAATCAAGGTGAAGCTCCATTGAGGGACTACAAAGATTTCACTGGGTGTACCTGTCCATCTCTGTCTCTTCATCTCTTTCTGTCTCCCGTCTCTCCTTCTACATGTGGAGGTCATGGTGACATTCTGCCTCAGGACTACATTGTTAAGCCAGTCACCCCAAAGTCGAGAGGGCTTTGCATTCTCCGGGAAAGACACAGATCGATCTGATTTTGGTCACACTCTTGTTCTTTAGCCAGTCGGTGTGGCAGAGGAATGGAGAGTTAGGATGGCGTGGTGTGGGTCATGTGCCCGCGCTGTGGGATGGTCTCTGTGGTCCATGGAGAGGAGCGCGCAGTTCCTCGAAGGAACCGAGACACTGCTACCATAAGGCAGGGGAGGTGGGTGCTAAATGAGAAATGTCTTCTGTACTCAGCTCTTCCATTTATGAAATGGGGAGAAGCATTTCTAGTCTCCAGGGTGATTATAAAGATTAAAGGCTAAAAAGGAGGTCAAAACACCCATCAACTAGTCACTGTATTTCTTCTTCCATGTGGGCTTCCTTGTGGATAAGACAGGGGCACCAGGGTTCTTTTGTTCTTTTTGCTGCTAACCTCAGGTCTATTACTCAACAGGACAGCCCCCAGGGAAAATGAACCCCACGTTGGGCCTGGTCCTCTTTCTGGCTGGCCTGCTCACCACAAAAGGTCTTCCGAAGCCCAGCTTCTCGGACCAGAATCATGAAGCTCTGGACCGGCCCCGAGACTGGAAGGGAAGGATGGCAGCCAAGGAGCTTGCGAAGCGGAACATGGATTTTGGCTTCAAGCTGCTCAAGAAGCTGGCCTCCATCGACTCCCGCAGGAACATCTTCTTCTCCCCCATGAGTATCTCCACGGCCTTCTCCATGCTGTCTCTGGGGGCCCAGGATGCCACCCTGGCCGAGATCAAGCAGGGATTCAATTTCAGGAAGATGTCAGAGAAAGACCTTCATGAGGGCTTCCACTACCTTATCCGCGAGCTGAACCAGGAGACCCAGGGTGTCAAGATGAAACTTGGGAACACCCTGTTCATCGACCAGAAGCTGCAGCCACAACGGGAGTTTCTGAGAAATATCAAGAACTTGTACTATGCAGACACTGTCCCCACCAACTTTCAGAACATGCAAAATGCTCGGCAGCAGATCAATGATTACGTCAATCAGAAAACCCATGGGAAAATTAACAACCTGGTCAAGAATATAGACTCTGGCACTGTGATGCTTCTTATAAATTATATTTTCTTTCGAGGTAAGTCTTATGGCATGTTGGCATAGAAAGGATAGGATGACCATTACACTTGGATTAAAAACCTGGGTTGGCCACTTGCTTGCTCTGTGACCTTGAATTCATATGTGACTAATTGACTAATCTCTCAGAACCCCATTTTTCTATCTGTAACACATCAGACAATTCCTGGGATTCAAAGTGAAAATGTATGTGAAATGAGTTTTGTGGAATCTGTCATTCTCCATATGTAATATTTTCATTATTGCTGATCATCCTAACGCAACACTGGTTGTAGAGGTTGGAGGGACATTTTCTCCCCATTTCTTAGGTGACAAAAAATTTCAGAGAGAGATTCATTGACTTACTCCAAGTTACAAGGCTGTCAATAAGAATCATGACTAGAACTCACTTCTCTTGGCCCTAGGGCTGTGCACTTTCCACCACTCCAGGTAGACACCCAGGGTGGTGATTGTGTTGATTATGGTGATGATGGTCACTTGGTGGGTGCCTTGGTCTCCATGTCAGACTTTATATATATTCTCCAAATCTGAGAGAGAGGCTGAAAAAGAAGACAGAAGAATGTTCTCTAATTTGAGCTTCATGCCCCCCCACCACACACACATTCCCACACAACACATGCACTCACATGTGTTGGCCACAAAAGGTTAGAATCAGAGGCCAACACACCTCAGTCCAGGCAAAATCACTGCTTGGCTTGTCAGCAACATGGTCCTCAATTTGGAAGTTCAGGTCTCCCAGAATCTACAGGGAGATCGATGACTATAGAGGAAAAATAAGTGATAACGGCAGTCTGAAACCTCAGTTTGCCCAAACTAGAGAAAAAGAAAGGAGAATTTTGAATTTCCCAAAGTCCCTATGTTCCCTAGATCACAACAGGAACAACAGTGACAGTAATGATGCTGATAATGACTAACATCCACTCAACACTCACTATACACCATCACTGAGCTGTGCTGCCCTGTCCCACTAAGTCTCAAGGTATCCGTATGAGGTAGCTGTCACTATTCCCATTCTGTGAATAAGGACGTTGAAGTCTAGGGAGATTGAGATACTTGTCCAAGGTCATCGTTTTAGAGCAATGAAGCCAGGATTTGAACTCAGGGACTTGGCTCTATAGTGGAGTCTCTGAGGGTAGTAGGTTTGAAAAGACTCAGGTTTGAGTTTATGAGCAATGGGGTCAAACCATCATCAGGGTTAAAAAGGAGGGGTCTAAACACTCAGCTTTGGGTGTTCGCTGCTCTTCAACAAGCTCCCAAAGGCAGCCTATTTCATTAGTTTTCTTAGCTCCACAGAGTGGCTCCTTCAGGGCTGACTTAGAATGGAATCAACCATTTTTACTCATGTCAGAGCCAATTAAGCCCCGTTAATTGTAATGCAGTCCCCTGTTGTGGAACATAATCCACAGGCTTTCTCAGGGTCAGGGGCACCTGGGCTTATGACAGTCTACTTCTCTCCTCTCAGCATGGCAGCCCTAGTCCTGGCTTATCTGGGAACAGATAATTGGGTTTGAGCCCATCTCATCAGAAGTCTTCAGGGCATGGCATGAGGACAGGGACTCGTGGTGCCCTTGCCTGATATCCCAGAATATCCAGACCCCTTACCCTGTGTGGTCAGAATCTGTGTGGATGGAAACCAGTAGTTAATTGGATTCAGTCACCTCTTTTCCCACAGGATTCTTACGTTACTTTGTCATTCTTTAATCTTAAGCCAAGTGGCAATATGAATTTGATCCAAAATTAACTAAAGAGGAAGCTTTCATTCTGGAAAGAAATAATTCAGTGAAGGTGCCCATGATGTTCCACGGGGGCTTGTACCAAGTTGGCCGTGACGACCAGCTCTCCTGTACTGTCCTGGAAATACCCTACCTGAAAAACATCACAGCTACCTTCGTTCTTCCTGACGAGGGCAAGATGAAGCACCTGGAGGAGGCTTTGGAGGAGGACATTTTTGCCAAATGGAAGCCATTAATGTTACACAGGTAAGGAGAGTACCTGACTCACATAGCATCTTCCTTCTTCCTGACTCTCCTTCTACTCTGTTGTTTCTATCCCAGATTTCTTGAGCTCTCACCTCACAGCCAGGTCCTCTTCTGGGCTCTGTAATGACCTTATATTATGGTGGGGAGCAGATTGGGAAAGAAGTCAGAGGAATACAGTGAAACATTTGCTATTTGAGGAGACGTATAACAACTGTAGGAGCGCAGTGGATAGAGTCTGGGTGGAGGGTGACCACAGGAAGGACTTCACAGAGGAGGTGGCATTTGAGCTAAGTCTTTAAGGCTGAGTGGCCAGCTGTTTGGAAGGGAAAGGAGTGATGGAGTCCTGAGCAAGGTACAAACATGGAGCATAAGAAGGAGCTGTGAGTTCTTCATTGTGAACAGAATGACATTTTCAACTGAGGTGTCACAACAAAATCAGTGAAGTGTGCCCCCTGTAAGTTATACTAATAATAGTTGAAGGACAAAAGGGAGTAAATATTTTTCTTTTAAAACATTAAACTTAGAACAGATTTATGGTAAGCCTACATGATCCCCCTCAGGCACTTACTCGATGATAGATTTTCTTGGGAAAAATATGGGGTGGTGCTGGAGTTGAGTCCTCGGGACTTGGTGTCAGTGTGTACGTGCATGGTGCCTTGAAAGTGGGTGGGCAAGAGAAGGATCTCTGGTGGCCAAGAGGGTGGGGGATGAAGCAGAGAGAGGACAGGAGCGATGTCAGATGTCCTCCATCCTGTTCTTCTGTTCCCTTTTCCACCTTGTCCCCACCATCGTTCTCCATCCATTTCCATAAAGGTCTTCACTGAGAACCTCTGCCACACCTAACGTGCTGTCAGGCATCAAGGAGGGTTCCAAGAGAGGTAGAGATGATGCTAGGACTGAGCTGGGCTACCCTTAGGTGGTAACTGATCTGATGCCATTTCTTTCCCACGGGAACACACACTTGGAGGAATTGAAGAACACATCGCTGATATTTAGAGTTAGCTGAAAGCTCATAAAAGGGAGATTCTGGTTCTGAAAGCTTCAGATAAAGTCACAGTTCTGGGAGGGGGAGCTCAGTGGCAAGGCATTCCAAGACAGCTGTTGTCCCTTGGGATCTGCACAGCCTCACCTGCCCTTCCTGCTCAGAACCAGGGATGGCAAGAGTTGGCAGAGTCTGGCTACTGACACAGGAGGAGAGGTCAAGGTTTCAAACTTAGCTGAGACCTGGTTTTCTCATCCATGATGGTGGCCATAATATTGCCAACCTTAGAGGACTCTGGAGAGAATTAAATGTGCCAGAGCACAGCATTACCGCACAAATGTGGGTTCCCATATCCTTCTCCTCCTGATTGGTTGAAGAGGCAAAGTTCCAAGGTTCCCAGTGGATCTTTTGAACTTCTGGTTTATTGAATGACAGGTGTCCTCCAAATCTGATCCTCCTACCTCAAGATGGAACCTCAAGATGGCAGCTAAGCCACTGAAGGCAAAGGTGTGGCATCTCTTAACAGGGCGATACTCCGGAAGGGGCTGGTAGTTTTCAGCCTGCACTCTCCAGAGTTTTAGAGTTCACAGAGGTGTCTTGGGGGACCTCCCAGGGGATCAGCAGCTTGCAAGGTGAAGGGAAGGTGGAAGATGAGAAGGACACCAGGCCCTCCACCTTACTTCATCCAGAAGTCTTAGCTTCACGAGACTCAGACTCCATAGATCACATTTCCTTTAGTACTCGAATGACAGTGACTTGAGACCCTATAGTTGGTTTGCTGGAACTAAGCATCCTCAGTGTGCCCCACCCCATCTCCAATTATTTCTGACAGTTTCCCATGGGGCTGCAGCTCTGGTGCCAGCTCTGGGGACTCCATGTCCCCTCACCAAGGCTCTTCACAGCCCTGGTGCTGTGACCACCATCAGGCCACCACTAACAGCACAGAGATGTTCCCTGGGCACTGACAGCATCTCTCTAGCTTCAGGATGGGACCTACACTCCTCCCCTTGTTCCTTACCCAAGCCTGAAATAGATCCTTCAAGAGTTCCTATAGACCAGCACTAGCCTTACTGGAGGTTTGGGGATACCGAAACCAATGCTCCTAAAAGGATCCAGGGGTAACTTACAGTGTGTAGTAGTCGCTTCTCCTGGAGTCCAAGTGCAGGCTGCTCTCAGAGTCTCTTCCAGGGAGCCCCCCACTTCCAGTCTGGTGCCTGGTCTGCCTCCCCTGCTCTACTGGAACTGCTCCCAACATCTCTATGCTGTAAGGCCATGGAGAGGAGGGTTCCTCTGCCTCCCCAGTGACTCCTGGCCCTGGAATGACAGACAGTGGTAATGTCCACCTCCCCCAGGGGAAACTCCATATCCTCTTACAGGGCAGTGGACTTGCCCACGGTTTCCAGGGAATTACGTTTCATCAGAACATGGTAGGTCAACGTTCCTACCCTCTGAGCCTGTTGGGTCTGAAAGGCAAGTTGTCAAGTTGCTTTGATCTGCAGGTGGGGAGCGTGGTCCAGACCACTTTCGTGGTCCTCTACAGGAGTGGCAGGGAATGGGCTATTCCCGCATGTTCTCTCTGCAATCCCCTCCATGCCACTGGAAGACTAGGACAGGCCAAAGAGAAAAATCACCCTTTCCCCCTAGAGAAGTAACCAAGTCAACATACTCACCCCTAAAAGACACACCCCAACTCACGCATGCCTAGAACATGCTGGGATTTAGGCTGTGGCTAACTTCCACCGGGGCTCTGGGCAGGAGGCCGACACCTGCTTTGTATTTGCATAATTAGCAGCCTGCTGCCGCTCTGATTTCCCCAGAGGAAACACTCAATTTTCCCAGGGTCCACCTTTAGGGCAGCACTCTTGGTGTCCCACGGGTGCCATGCTTACCGTCCTCCTTTTTGCACAAGCGACTCAGAGGGGTAAGATCGTCTGTCCCAAGACGTGGAGCGCATGAGAGGCAGAGCGTATTGAGCTCAGTTCTGTCTGGCTCCAGATCTCGGGCCCTGCTGCCCCAGCATCAGGTCTGCTTCGGTTAGGGCTGGCTCAGGGCTTGGGTGTGGCAGAGACTACAGTGGGGACATCTTCAGTCGCTATGGCTGAAGGGGCCCTGAGATGGCGGGGACGTGGACGAGGGCTCCAGGGCAGCCTCACAGTTCAGAAAGCACAAGGTGTTTTGAAACAAAGGTTCCGGGATTGAGGGGCTCTCGTCCTTTCGTGGATGAAGAGAGAAGACCTGAGAGACCTTTGGGGTTGGGAGGACAAACGTCTCATTTATCATCTATCCTGAGGCTTGCCCTGGAAACTGGCAGGGCTCTACCACTCACACTTGTCACTTGCCTCTCCCCAGGGTTGTAGATGTGTCTGTGCCCAAACTCCACATCAGGGGTACCCATGACCTGAAGAAGATTCTCTCCCACCTGGGCATCACCAGGATCTTCGAGGAGCACGGCGATCTCACCAGGATCTCCCCTCACCGCAGCCTGAAAGTGGGCGAGGTAAGCCTGCCCCGCCCCCTCCAGCACCGGAGCCTTCATAGCCCTGGGCCAGAGCCGCCCTCACAGTGGCTATACAGGAAGGATTCCAATCGCCAGGCCCAGCGACCTAGAATCCAGCTCTGCCCTGACAAGCCATGTGATCCTGGGAAAATCATGTGACCTCCCCAAACCTTGTGTTTCCCGTCTTTAAAACTGGTGCTGTTTTGGAAATGAATTCAATTCCACAAACATTGATCAAGGCCTGGAACTTTTACCAGGCCTAGAAGAGGTCTAGGTCTAGCCCAGACCCTCTCTCCAAGGCCTCGAAGACTTCTTAGGGGTAAGTGGTGAACAGGTTTTGCACAAGGAAGAGACAGAGCACAGGGCCTGTGGTCTCTGGCAAGGGTGGGCACCTGCCTTCGGGGCAAGAAGAGAGCACATACAGGCAGGGTCACCAGATTTAGCAGACGCAATATAAGATACCCAGTTAGGTTTGAATTTCAGATAAACAGTGAATTATTTTTTGTAGTGTAAGTATGTCCTAAATATTATATGGGACAGACTTATACTAAAACATATTCATTATTTATCTTGAATTCAAATTTAACTGGACATCCTGTATTTTACCTGGCAACCCTACTTTTGGGTTAAAAGGGCATCAAAAGGGGAAAAGATTTCGACAAGCAGAGATGGGTACAGGAGGATCTTCCAGCTGGGGCAACGGGAATGGCGTGGCGGAGGATGGGTGGTGGGGACTGGAGAGGGGATGGGGAGGTTCCAGGCAGTCTGGGGGGATCCTGTCTGCCAAGTGGAGCCAGCTGCTCTGGATCCCAAGGCACAGACTCAGCTGTCCTTTCCAATTTGTAAGAGGGAAAGACTCAGCCAACAGAATTTTCTTGCTTTTGAGTTTTTCTGCCACAGCCGTCCCCCAAACGCTCAATGCCAGCTCCCCTTTCTGTGGTTCTTGAATGACTCGTTTCTTTCCCATAGGCAAATGTGCTGATAGCTGTGATCCTAACACAGGGTATTGGCCTGTTTTCTGCAAGTAAAATTGTTAGACTTTTGCAGACTAGAATGAAATGTGTGGGTATTTCCCAGAGGCCTGTCAGGTTCCTGGTATCCATCACCTGGTCACAGATACTGATGCCATTGGGGTGGGTCTGGTCTCTGAGTCATCTCAAACAGCTAATCCAGAATCCGGCTTCCTCTTAAGCACCCACCAGGTGCATAAAAGGAGGTACAGGGGCTTCAGCCAGGGACACCCCCATCCTCCTCCTACCCAGCCACGGTTCAATAGACCCTTTCTGCCGTGGTGACGGTGGATGCCTCCCTGTAATTCACGGGAAGGACAGCAACCCCCACTCCGTTTCCCCACCGCCCCCATAACTGATGTTCCCCCCCGCACCATCTTTTCTTTATGCTGCGTCTGCCTGTCAAATACCCTCCAGCAATGATGGCAGAAGAGCCAAGAGCCACGGGGTGGCTGGCACCAGCTGAGCTACTGCTGTGCTGGGCAGCTTTGGCCAATTTGTCTCCCTCTCTGGGGCTCTCTGGGCCTCTGGCCCGGCAGTCTCGAAGCAGCAGGCAAGCACTGACCTTGCCCTTGGTTCCCGCAGGCGGTGCACGAGGCTGAGCTGAAGATGGATGAGAAGGGTACGGAGGGGGCCGCGGGCTCCGGAGCGCAGACGCTGCCCATGGAGACGCCAATGCCCGTCAAGATAAACAAACCCTACATACTCATAATTCACGAGACGTTGACACCTTCCATACTCTTCTTGGGAAAGATTGTTAACCCTACTGAGTAATAAAGGGGAATTCTTGCTTGCTGCAGACGTCAATTACGGCTTGGGGCTAAAAATGTTTCATCTCCCTGGGACGGAGGCCACGTGCACATTCTAATCGAATCCCAAGACGGCCTAGTGAGAGCATCGCCAGCTCTCAGGGCTCCTCCGTGCATTTCCTCCCTAAGCCCCTCCCTGCCCGCTCCACTGTCAGGATTAGGTGCCCCCCACCCACTTGGCAGTGTTCTCTCCTCTCCAGCAGACAGGGATTTTTTTTTTTTTTTTGTGATTCAATAAACAAACACTCTTTCCTCCTCCCCGCTGCCCCAGGTCTGCTGGCTGTTGGTGGATAATTTAGGGAAGGTGTGAGCCACAGCAAGTACCTGGGGTTTGAAGTGAGAGAGAAACCTGGGTTCAAATCCTAGAACAAGGTATCTTTGGGAAAGCCACATACCTTCTCAGCGCTGCTGGATCATGCTTTCCCCTGTGGGTCTCTGAGGAAGCTAGCTATTGTGAGTATGCTTTAGGGAAGTTGGTCTCCCTTTGCCAGTCCTTGGCCTTGGGTCTTTGGCAGCCCTTGGCCTTGGGTCTTTGGCATGTGATCTACGCAGTTATCTTCCCCAGCGTGTCCAGCTAAGAGCTCTGGGCTCAGCCAGGCATCCAGACAGATGACGAGACAGAGGTGGGGCACAACAGGAAGATCCTGGGACTCCCCTGTCTTGTCGTCAAAGGCAGGCCCAGCTGTTTGAACCTGTTAGCAAACTCAGCTGAGCGAATGGGGTCCCTGCATCTGCCCATAAAACGCGGCCCTGCAGGGTCTGTCTGTAACCACTAGGGGGCACCAGGTGTTCACGGGGCTGCTTAGGCTTCCAGCCTGCCTGGGCGGTCTCATTTCAGGCAGTGGTTCCCTTCTTCCTGCAGTTCCCTTTGTCTCCGGTGTTTGGGGAGGAGGGGATCTGACTGGCTTGGCACTGAGAAGCCTGAGAGGGGAATTTGCATCCCCTGGGCCTGTCTTGCAATTTGCTGCTCCTGGTACGCTTTGTGTTCTGGTCACAGCTTCCCTGAGGGCAGCCAGAACAGACATCTGCATGACAGATGTGGAAACTGAGGCTCAGAGAGGGAAAGTAACTTCTTTGAAGCCTCAGGGTTAGCCACAGTTCCCCTGGCTTCTGGTTTGGGGCAGGAAGGAAGGGGTCCCGCACTGACCTGGGGCGGGAGACGCACTGCTCAGCCTCTCCCCAAGCTTCAGTGAGTAAGCGCCTCCTCCTCCTCTTCCTCCTCCTCCTCCTCTTCCTCTCCTACTCCATCCTGGGCACAGCCCACAGGCTGGTGGGGAGGCAGCCTGGGAGGGGCTGGGCTAGCAGAGGGTGCTAAGTGCTAAGACTGGGGAGCCCAAGAGGACGCGGCTCCTGAGAAGGTGGGAGTTGGGGCGAAGGTTGGGCCCCCGCCCAGGGACACAGACTGGGGCAAAAGGCTGTGAATCCAGCAAGCTCTTGCTGACATCACCATTCCCCTGCCCCAGCCCGAGGGGGGGGGTGCGGGAAGGCCTCGGATGGACACAGGAACCCTTAGGTGTATGACATTTGACCCTGGGGACTTGGCACTGCCAGGTAAGACATTTAGGGACCCAGTGACCTGGGCATGTCTCTTAACTCTTCAGAGGCTCAGCCTCCTCATTGTTGAAAGAGGGTAACAATGTCTACCTCCGGGGCCGAGGACCTCTAAGGATTACGGGAGGTTGCGTAGAGACCGTGCCGGGCATATAGGCGCACAGTACAGGGCGGTGGCAACCTCCCACCACCCTCACTCGAGCCTCTGAGATGACCAGACGTTTTCCAAAAATCTGCCCTCCAGGCATGTGCCTCTGCCAACCCCTCTCGTGGGAATTCCCTCCTCCTGCCTAGGGAGCTCCCGCTCACCCTTTAATACTCAGGCCATTTTGGCCTCTTTATGAACTTGACTTTTTCCCCAGCATCTTCTAAGCAAGCGGTCCCCGACCTTTTTGGCTCCAGGGACCGTTTTCATGGAAGACAATTTTTCTATGAACCGGGGAGGAAGGGGGGATGGTTTCGGGGTGATTTAAGCACACTGCATTAATTGTGCACTTATTTCTATTATTATTACATTGTAATATATAATGAAATAATTATACAACTCACCATAGGTTGGAGACCCCTGTTCTAAACAGCCCTCTGAGACAGCATTCACCTCCATACCTGAGGATGGCTGGAGGATCTCGAAGCTCCCTCCACCCTCATGGGGGCTGCAGTCAGTCCTGCGCTGAGCAAAGGCTTACGGCTGCCACCTCTGGGCTGGTTGGTAATGTGAATAGACAGCTCCTGCAATAGGCAGCTCCTGCCTAATGGGGTTAATATTCAGTGGGAACAGCAGCCGTGAATCGAGTAAACACACATGGAAGTTTCTCCCGAGCTGCAGTGAACTCCTGGGTGCTGGGAGAATGTGTACTGGGAGGGTCTGATCCAAGCAGGGGCCCAGGGGAGACATCCCCAGGGACGTGATGTTTGGGGAGAGCTCCGAATGCCGGGGAACTCATCTGTTTTTAAACCGTTGCTATTAATGAAAACTTCATATACGTGTGTGATTTCTAGTGTGGTTAATAACGTATAAAACAAGGGTTGGTATTTCCAAGTATGCCCATTATAATTGGGCATAAACTCTAGTGCTTTCTTCATCTTCCTTTTAACTAACTCTATTTTTTAAAATGACTATTGCACATCTGAACTATTTGTCAATATGATTTCCCACTTTCACAGCCATGTTTTTATTCTTCACTATGGAAACAAGCTCTATTCTGAAAAAGAAAAAGAGGAAGAAGTTAGGGGGGAGCAGAAGGAAGGACAGGTGCAGAGGCCCCGGGGAGGGAAGGTGGCGTGGAGGACGGGAGCAGTGACGCTGCAGAGGCAGGTGGGGCTTTCTGGCCACCCGGGGAGCGCTGGGGTTTAACTGAAGAACTGTGGTGGCCGTCACAGGTATTTGGTTGGAGAGTAACTCAGGCAAACTCATGTGTTCTGAGTGTCCTTCTGGCTGCAGGCTAGGTGTCCTTGTGTCCTTGTGCCCAGGCTGGTGCATGGCACAGGGCACGTGCTCAGCATAGGATTGCTGGAAAGAAAGACCACCGCACTGTCACCCTTGTCCAGACACGGCCACCCCCCTCCAAAGCTCTCCTCTCCTCTGGGAGGGCAGTTTCGTGCCTTAGCCTGGCAGGCCTGCCCGCCGGGATGTGGCCGTGCCTGCTGCACCGGTGGGTCTGCACTGCCACCTCCCCACACTGCTCGTGCGTCCCACCCTGCCAGGGAGCTGTCCCTGAAGCCCGTTCTGTCCCACTCCCACCACTTCCTTTCAGTTGTTACTCAGCCTTCCAGGAAAGATCAACTCCCACGGTCTTCTCAGAATCCTTCACGTATTTGTGGACTGACCAGCCTCGTGAATGAGTGAGTGAATGAATGAATGGGTTTTGACTTTGGTGTAACCAACACTTCCCAGAGGCCTGTCAGAGCCTAGCACCGCACAAGGGCTCTCACCCCACTGACCCACCGCCCTCCCAGGCTGGTGCGGCAATCCCATTCTACCGATGAGACCACTGAGGCTGGAGAAGCTCACACAGCTTGCCCAAAGTCCCAGATGGCCACAGCGCGGGGACCAAATGCAAGTCCCCTGAGCCTTTTCACCTTTCAGTCGTCCCAGCCATCTATCCAGCCATCTGTTCAACAACTGTTTCCTTGGGGTCCCCTTTGTGCCAAGGACTGTTCTCAGGACTTGAGGTACATCAGCAAACAAAATATGAGAAGATATTGCCCTGTGCAGGCCACAGGCCGGTAAAGAGAGTCAGACAACAAACAACAGGTGGATAAAAGAAATGAGAACATTAGGTGGCACCAGTAAGGGTGACGAGAGATGGTGCTGGCAAGCGTCAAGGTTGGCCTCCCCGAGAAGGCAGCACTCATTGCGGAGACGACAGATTCCGTGACTCTACTCTCCATGGTCTCTGCCGCACAGCTGGCCCCTGGAGCTTCATGGCCTGGAGACGCCCAGGCATGGAGGGCCTGGTGATACAAGAGGGTAGAATCCCAGGACAGAAAGACCCTTTTGACATGATCCAGTGTGACCTTCCGCCTGGCTCAGAAAGCTTCTGTCCAGCTCTGAGCAGGGGTCTCTCCTGCCTCCTCCAGCGCCGGAAGCCCACTTTCCTGGCCTGCCTTGCTCAGCCCACAGCATCTCCTGCCCAGGCTGAGGTCATTCACATGGGCACACACCGGAAGTGACAGGCCGATGCGCTGGCGGCGATAATCACAGGTGGGAAGTGCTGGTCCTTGGCCCTGCTTCCCCCAGATACTGACTGCGTGGCCTGGGCAAATACCTTCTTCCTCGTGGGCTTCTGCTTTTCCTCTGCGCAATGACGGGGTTCCCCCAGATGACCCCAGAAGACCTTCCTATCTGAGACAGTACTTTGGCACTCATATTGTAAATGAAAGAACTGGCTCTGGAGTTTCACGCGTAGTCATTCTTCCCTCCATTCGTATATTCAGAAAATCTTTGTTGAGCCTCCTCTACGTGCCAGGCAGTATGCCAGGGACGGAGAAGCCAGGTGAGCGGGACAGACAGGGGCCCCGTCCAGGCAGAGCTTAGGGGTGCACGGCCTGCTTACTCCACATCTCCCGGTGTCCTGTTCAGGCCCAGCCAGGAGAATGTTCCCTGACCTGCTGGGTCGCCCCATCGGGGATCAGGTTCTGCAACGAGGGTACAAAGCCCTGGCACCCTTTCTCTTTGGGAAACCTGCTTTCCATGAGTGTTCGGTTTCTCGAGTTTTATTTATTCCTGAACCACTTTTGCAAATATGGCTGAATTCTCATCTATCTTGTACTATCACATACTCAAGGTCTATCTTTATGTCAATTCATGTTTTAAACAAAGAGAAATGTGTTTAAAAGAAAAACTAATATCGCAATCATACACAGAAACCAGTATATCATACACAGAAACCGGTATAACTTGCCACACGTGGA